TTCAAGCACCCTCGGCACCTGGAGATCCTCCAGCTCAGCAGGAATCTGGTGCGGAAGGTGGAGGTGGGCGCCTTCAACGGCTTGCCCAACCTCAACACGCTGGAGCTGTTCGACAACCGGCTGACCACGGTGCCCACGCAGGCCTTCGAGTACCTGTCCAAGCTGAGGGAGCTGTGGTTGAGGAACAACCCCATCGAGAGCATCCCCAGCTACGCCTTCAACCGCGTGCCCTCGCTGCGGCGCCTGGACCTGGGCGAGCTGAAGCGCCTGGAGTACATCTCGGAGGCGGCTTTCGAGGGCTTGGTCAACCTGCGCTACCTCAACCTGGGCATGTGCAACCTGAAGGAGATCCCCAACCTGACGGCGCTGGTGAGGCTGGAGGAGCTGGAGCTCTCCGGGAACCGCCTGGGCCGGGTGCGGCCGGGCTCCTTCCAAGGCCTGGGGAGCCTGAGGAAGCTGTGGCTGATGCACGCGCGGGTGGCGGCGGTGGAGCGCAACGCCTTCGACGACCTGAAGGCGCTGGAGGAGCTGAACCTGGCACACAACGACCTGGCCTCGCTGCCCCACGACCTCTTCGCGCCGCTGCACCGGCTGGAGCGCGTCCACCTGCACCACAACCCCTGGCGCTGCGACTGCGACGTGCTGTGGCTCAGCTGGTGGCTGCGGGAGACGGTGCCCAGCAACACCAGCTGCTGCGCCCGCTGCCACGCGCCGCCGGCGCTGCGCGGCCGCTACCTGGGCGAGCTGGAGCCGGGCCACTTCACCTGCTACGCGCCGGTCATCGTGGAGCCGCCGGCCGACCTCAACGTCACCGAGGGCATGGCGGCCGAGCTGAAGTGCCGGACGGGCACGGCCATGACGTCGGTGAATTGGTTGACGCCCAACGGGACGCTGATGACGCACGGCTCGTACCGGGTGAGGATCTCGGTGCTGCACGACGGCACGCTCAACTTCACCAACGTCACCGTGCAGGACACCGGGCAGTACACCTGCATGGTCACCAACGCCGCCGGCAACACCACGGCCACCGCCACGCTCAACGTCTCGGCCGCCGACGCCGCCGCCGCCGCCGCCGCCGCCGCCGCCGCCACCGGTTACACCTATTTCACCACGGTCACCGTGGAGACCACCGAGGGCGCCGGCGGCGACGACCAAGCCCCTCAAACCCCCGCGGCGCCCACCGCCGCCGGTTGGGAACCGGCCGGCGCCTCCACGGCCGCCCCGGCCACCCGCGCCACCGGCAAACCTTTCACCGTGCCCATCACGGCGGCGGCCGGCGCGGCGGCGGCCGGAGGGGGTCTCCAGGATCTGGACGACGTCTTGAAGACCACCAAGATCATCATCGGCTGCTTCGTGGCCATCACCTTCATGGCCGCCGTCATGCTGGTGGCCTTCTACAAGCTCCGCAAGCAGCACCAGCGGCACAAGCACCGCGGCGGCCCCGCCCGCGCCGTGGAGATCGTCAACGTGGAGGACGAGCTGGCCGGCGGCCCCGCGGGCGGCGGCGGCGGCGCCGGAGGAGGAAGCGGGGCGGGCGGGGACAACCGGCTGGCGCTGCCGGCTCTGGAGAGGGAGCACCTGGACAGGTACGCGGCGTTGGCCGCGCACTACGGCGGGCCGGCGGCGGCGCTGGGCTGCGGGAAGACGCCGCTGCTCAACTCGGTGCACGAGCCGCTGCTGTTCAAGAGCCCGTCCAAGGAGAACGTGCAGGAGACGCAGATTTAGGGGGGGTTTTTGGGGTTTGGTTTTTGGTTTTTTTTTTTTTTTCGGGGGTGTTTTGGGGTTTTTTGGGGTTGGGGGGGGTTTTTTTGGGGGGTTTTTGGCGGTGTGGAGGTTTTTGGGGGGGGGTGGGGAGCGGAGAGGGAGGGGGTGGAAGGCTGGGGGAAGCGGTGGAAAATGTGGAGAGACTCCAGGAAAATGGGGGAGATGATGGAAAAATGGGGGGAAACTCCGGAGAAATGGGAGGAAAGTCCGGAAAAATGGGGGAGACTGAAAAAAATGTGGAGAAAGTCCAGAAAAATGGGAGGGAACTCCAAAAAATGTGGAGAGATGCTGGAAAAATGGAGGGAAACTCCGGAAAAATGGGAGGAAACTCCGGAAAAATGGGAGGAAACTCCAGAAAAGTGGGGGAGACTGAAAAAAATGTGAAGAAACTCCAGAAAAATGAGGGGAAACTCCAGAAAATGAGGGGAAACTCCAGAAAAATGGGAGGAAACTCTGGAAAATGAGGGGAAACTCCAGAAAATGAGGAGAAACTCTGGAAAAATGGGGAAACTCCAGAAGAATGGGAGGGAACTCCAAAAAATGTGGAGAAACGCTGGAAAAATGGAGGGAAACTCCGGAAAAATGAAGGGAAACGCCAGAAAAATGGGAGGAAACTCTGGAAAATGGGGGGAAACTCCAGAAAATGAAGGGAAACTCCGGAAAAATGGGAGGGAACCCCAGAAAATGAAGGGAAACTCCAGAAAAATGGGAGAAAAACTCCAAAGAATGTGGAGAAACTCCAGAAAAATGGGAGGAAACTCTGGAAAAATGGGAGGAAACTCCAGAAAATGAGGGGAAACTCTGGAAAAATGGGGAGAAACTCCAGAAAAAAGGGGGAGACTGAAAAAAATGAGGGGAAACTCTGGAAAAATGGGAGGAAACTCCAAAAATTGAGGAGAAACTTTGGAGGAATGAGGGGAAACTCCGGAAAAATGAAGGGAAACTCCTGAAAAATGGGAGGAAACTCCAAAAAATGTGGAGAGATGCTGGAAAAATGGGAGGAGACTCCAGAAAAATTCGGGGAGGCTCCAAAAAAATGAGGGGAAACTCTAAAAATTGTGGAGACGCTCCAGGAAAACGGGGGGAAACTCCAGAAATTGAGGACTCCGGAGAAATGAGGGGAAAGTCCGGAAAAATGAAGGGAAACTCCAGGAAAATGGGAGGAAACTCCGGAAAAATTGCGGGAAACTCGGGGGAAAATGCGGAGAGAGTCTGGAAAAATGGGGAGGAACTCCGGAAAAATGGGAGGAAACTCCGGAAAAATGAGGGGAAACTCCGGAAAAGTGAGAGGAAACCATGGAAAAATGGAGGGAGACTCCAAAAAAATGGGAGGAAGCTCCAGAAAAATTTCCAGGAAACTCCGGAAAAATCCCAGGAAATTCCGGGAAAATTCGTGGAGGCTCCAAAAACCGTGGAGAGACTCTGGAAAAATGGGGGGAAACTCCGGAAAAATTCGGAGAGACTCTGGAAAAATCCAGGAAAATGCGGGAATTGCTCCAGAAAAAGTTGGGGGAGACTCCAAAAAATGGAGGGAGGCTCCGAAAAATGTGGAGAGACTTCGGAAAAATGCGGGGAGACTCTTGGAGATTTTGGGGGGAAAAACGCTGGAAAATGTGGGGGAAGCACCCCCCAAAAATGGGGGGAAAAAAACCCAAAAAAGGGGGGGAAAAACTCCAAAAAATGGGGGAAAAAAACCCCCAAAAAATGGGGAAAAAAACCCAAAAAATGGGGAAAAAAAACCCCAAAAATGGGGAAAAACTCCCAAAAAATGGGGAAAAAAAACCCAAAAAAATGGGGAAAAAAACCCCAAAAAATGTGGGAGGAACTCCTGGAAAAAAGATGGAGAAAAGCTAAAAAAAAAATGGGGAAAACCCCCAAAAATGTGAGTGAAACCCCCCAAAAAATGTGGGGAAACCCTTAAAAAATGGAGGAAACCCTAAAAAAAATGGGGGGAAAACCCCCCAAAAAATCCAGAAAAATGTGGGGGACCCCCCCCCCCCCCCCCAAAAAAAAATTTAGGGGACCCCCCCTGGAACTGCGGAGCTGAAGGAAACCCCCCCCAAAAACTGAGGGGAACCCCCGAAAAATGGGGGGAACCCCCGAAAAATGGAAGAACCCCCCAAAAAATGAGGGGAACCCCCCCCAAAAACGAGGGGAACCCCCCAAAAAAGGGGGGGGGGCCCCCCCCCCCCCCCAAAAAAAAAAACCCCCGGGCTTGGAACTTCCCCCCCCCCCCCCAAAAAAAAAAACCCCCGGGCTTGGAACTTCCCCCCCCCCCCCCAAAAAAAAAAACCCCCGGGCTTGGAACTTCCCCCCCCCCCCCCAAAAAAAAAAACCCCCGGGCTTGGAACTTCCCCCCCCCCCCCCAAAAAAAAAAACCCCCGGGCTTGGAACTTCCCCCCCCCCCCCCAAAAAAAAAAACCCCCGGGCTTGGAACTTCCCCCCCCCCCCCCAAAAAAAAAAACCCCCGGGCTTGGAACTTCCCCCCCCCCCCCCAAAAAAAAAAACCCCCGGGCTTGGAACTTCCCCCCCCCCCCCCAAAAAAAATTCGGGAGGGAATTTGGGGACCCCCCCCCCCAAAAAAATTAAAATCGGAGACCCCAAAAATGGGGAAAAAAACCCCCCCCCAAAAGAATTGAAATTTGGAGCCTCCCAAAAAATGGAAGATTTGGGGATCCCCCCTCCCCAAATCTGAGCCCAAGACCCCAAAAATTGAACCCAGAAGTCCAAATCTGACCCCAAAAACCCCAAATTTGACCCCAAAAACCCCAAATTT